GGTGACATGAATCGTTTCATCCTGTCGTAAGCGCTTCGTTTCAGTCTTATAAGTTAGGAGCATTCATCATTCCACCAAGGGGTTGCTGGTTTTTTATATGGTTTAGTTTTGGGGATAGACATTCTAGCTACTGTAACAAGCGAATTTGTGAAATTGTCGCAAAATTCTTCAACGTCTTCAGATTTTATTATATCTGATATATAAGTATCTGAAAGTCGAATAAATTTATCCAAATTCGCACGTTTGAATGCCCAATTTGGTTTGAATTGGTTTGACATTGACATCCTAATATCAACAGATCCGCTCCCGATTAGTTCGTCTGATCACGAGTGACGCATCTGTGTGCAATATTAGCACTGGCGAGAGAGAGGTCTAATAGCGAATGATTACTAGCATTGAGATGGATATTCAATCTAGTTGGACAAGTATTCAGAACGACATAAGAATGTAGGTCAATCATCTTAGAAAGTATACGCCCAGTAGTGTTGCAGTATGAACTGCCCCGGAGTGTGTGGTGTGAGTTGAAATCTCCCAATACGAGTGTGTTTGAGTGTAGTTGTACGAATACTGACTTGAATTCATGTTCATCAAGGTGTGCATCCGGCGGAATATATATATTACCAATATTGCTACTTTCGACAACAATGCCTTGTATCTTAATTTCTCGATAGGTGGTTAACGGCAGGGGAGTGTATGGTAACGAGTTATCCACGAACATGCATAGCCCTCCACCAAAAATGTTCCGATCTTGTCTAACTAACGTATAACCTAATAAAAAACTGGCGTGTATTTGCTAGATAAAAAGGTCTCTTGGAGCAAAATGACATTTGGCTTTGAAGATAAGGTATCTATATAATGTTTGAATTTGTATATTTTTCTATATATACTTCTGCAGTTCCATTGCATTAGTGAGAGTACCATTATTTTGGATTAACTAAGGAAACAAGTTCCTGCTTATCTAAAAGTTTTTCCTATTTCACAGTCAGATTTAAACTGCATCATTTTCTCTTCTCGCTTTCAAATCTCATATGTTGGATGGACATGGAGTATGAATTATGCTTTCGCATTCGTACCTAAAAGTTATGTAATTATATATATATTCATCTTCTGCAAATAAAAAATATAGCTCGATTTGATGTTGCAAGTGACAATATTTAATAGTTGCCATTATACAGAAGTTCAGCAAATTGATATGCTAAACCTTCTCAAAACTACTGTGTCTTATTGTATTTCCCAGACTTTTTTTTTTATCTCATTCTAAAATTATATGTGATGTTTCACAGGAATCTTCACCCTCCTTCCCCTTGTTGGACAATTTTTTCGAATGACTAATATTCTCTACCGTTACCTTTTTTTATTATTTCAATTTTTGACTCATTTCAAATGTTGGTGTCGCAGACTTATGATGACCCCTTCTGTTTCTTGCGATGAAAGCCACCTGCTTTTAAATTGCGACTAAATCCGTTTCTGTATTGTATAAGCTGTGCCTTGAATTTGTGTATTATTTCCTGCGTGACGAAATGAACGAAGATAAAAAAAAATTAATCACTGAATTTTCCCGCCTTATGTTTTTTTTCTCTCTCCCAAATGCTACGGTATATGAATATTTATATCACTCCCTGTTTTGTTGGTAATTTTTTGAACGACTAAGTTTCTCTTTGTATCCATCGCTTTCTTTAATTGCAATTTTTACTTTCGACTCGTCTTAAATCTAGGTGTCGCTGACTTATGAGGACCATTTCTAGTCCTTCGCGATTTCCTGTCAATTGCAATGAAATCTGTTACTGTAATGCATAATTTTTCATCTGTTGTGAACTTGTGTTGTGATTTCTGGCACGACGAAATAAACTTATTGTCTATTGTCATAGTTCATGTTTTTGATGTAAATAATATATAGGTTCAGATTCTAATATATAAAATCAAAAAGGCAACGAACATTATATATGTTAAACAGTAATGTCATATCAGTGTTTGAAACTTTGTGTCATTTCACATTGTATCGAAATATATACTATAATATATGATTGTTTAGAATCAACATGTTTTGTTATTTCATGATTGGAGTCTTTAGGCCCCATGCAATATTTGAAAGGTTTGTCATACTGTATTTTTGTGAGGTTTCCGATTACAACTTATATTCACCTTATGTAGTCAAGTCAGCAACAGCAAACAGACGTCTTTCAGCCTGTGATTTCGCTCCACAAATTTGCCATCAAGTTACAATTTCTTCTAATTTAGGTATGGACTGTCATTTTAAAGGGTTTATATTACAATAATTTTCATAATTCGGACGAGGTTTTATTTTCGGGGAAACGCGGTAGTAAGAAGTGGCATTGACACAACTTGAAGAACTGTATGGCAGGTACCGGACTTCAGTGCTACCAGGTACTGCAGTACTGGCAGCCGGACATCCTATCTAATATAGTCAGCATAGTATATATAGTACGGTACCGTATTTTATACCTTCGAAAAAGATATTACGAGTTCCACCTGATCCAGTACACTCCAGGTGCAACATTGGCCCTCAACCAAGCAACAGCACAAACTCGCGAATGAAAAGCGAAACCGCCGCGTCCCCCAAGAGTGAGGTAAAAACAGTCGGCGGCAGCAGCCGTCACGCTCCGATGGTTCGTATGAAAGTCCGTAATGTCGTTTACTTTCGGTTACGTAAAGTTCTGTTACTATCACAAATTTATCTTCATTAAAAGACATCAATTTTCTTCGTTTGAGTGCGCAGTGAATTTATCCCTGATAATTTGGCGTCGCACGAACAAAAAGTTTGTGAACCGCCTGCCTATGGGTTTCTTATTGTCTAAATCCGGTCTCGCTGAGGAACAATAAATTCCCACTATAACGTATTGTGATCTATCACTTGAATAAATTGGTGATAGGTTTATTTGCTATTTTCCTAATATCGTAATGTCTCAACTCGTAATCTTTTTTTTGAATTATACGATCTAATATTCATCGATCGCTGAAATAATTGATATCGGTCTATAATTTGACCAATCTGTTATTGCCAGATTTGAAGAGTAGGATTACCCTACAACTTTGTGTGAAATGTTGGAGCTCCATTTGATGGGGACCAATTGAAAAGTTCTGATCAGCAATTAATTGAAGGTAGCGTGTTGAAATGCTGTCTGGCCCTACTGCCTTTCAGATTTTGTATATATATGTGTGTGTTTAGTTTCTTTGTCGTGGACAAACTCATGTATTTTGACAATTTCGGATAATTCAGATTGTAATTCGAAATTTTTGTAAATGCGAGAGCATTCCTAGGCACCAACACCATCTGCCTTAATGGGAGATGGCACATGAACGAAACTATACCCTGAAATTGCAATAGGGGTACGGGTGTACAATCTGTCACAATACCGGTACCGCAGTTTTCACGACTTCGCCGGATCATCATAGAGCAATCAAAGCGAACGCGGAAGTGCCACAAGGTGCGGGTTTCTTAATGTTGATGCGCTTATCCCACCAAGAACGAATCCCATAGAGCCCACTTAAATGTTTGAAATAAATTAGACTTAGAGTAATAGCCTTCTAGCAAAAAATGTTATCTTTAATCACAATAACTATGGTGACATATTGACTATTTTCACATTTGTTCTCATTGGTTCACGTCTGAACAAGAAAAAGAATTCTTCCCTCATAGCAGGATTTACGGATTAATTAGAAAAACAAATTAAATATGAGCAATACAAAAGGCATTTATGAGGACATCAAAAAAAAATTGTGCATTACAGCAATAAAACAATAGACACCAACGGCGCTGGTGACCAAGTCGGAGATGTTGATTGGAATATTGTGAAAGCTTGACGCTCAGTCGGAGTCTTCCGATTAAGGATTCCAGGAGGGACATCGCTTGATCTTGTTGTCGACATCTTGATATACTCAAAGTCAATTTTCTGAGATCAAGTGAACAAGTTCTTGTGGGATTCAGAGGATTCGCGCTAACCCTCTCATAGGATGTCGTGATAGTCATCGAACCTGTTTTTGTATCAATTAGAAGTTTAACGACCGCAGCAACTGGGCACGTGTACCGCTGCTGACGACTAGCGCCATATTGAGCGTTTCAAAAGTTATGCAAAAAATTTATATAAAGCGTGTCGTGTTAATGCAGCTCATGTAGTGAGATACATACATTTCTAAAAATACAGAAACCTGTTGTTAGTGTGCCTGCTACAAAAAGAACCCGTTCTTAAAATTTTAAATCCCATCAGTGCATGAATTATTTATGTCGCATTTGGACGGATGTTCCTGTGATAGCACTGAACCTTCTTGGTCGAAATATAAAAAAAATAATATCAAATGTGAATGACGTCGGAACTGCAAACTCTTCTTTCCCATAGAGTAGACGAAATGTTGCGTCGCTGTCCTAATTTTTTTTACGGATAATATAATGAACTATGTTCTTCCAAACTTTCAAAAAAAAAGTTTTACGTCGTCAAACTGTAAATGTACATACAGACAAAAATTGCCTCAAGTATTTTCAAATAACCTAAGTTAAATGGAATGCATTTCATAGTTGTTTCCTCGTGTTATTGACATGAACTGCTTCAAACCTCGCATCAATCGGTATTCACTGACACACCATGGATCTTAATATAGTCTCAGTATCACTTGGTAATTGAGTGATCTTTCGTAACTTCGCTCAGTTGTGTATACTGAAGTTGCGTTTGCTAGTCCACTAACAACCCGAAGAAACTACTCTAAAAACTTGCTAAAAGTGTCTATCATAACGACGCATGTAGATAACCAAACTCGGTATACACCATATGCCAACCTATTGGTCACCAGGTCATGGTGCACGCAAGCTTAACAAGTCTTATAAACCTTGAGTACGTTTATCGAATTGCGTCCATGAGCATAATGATATTACCTGGTTTCGACTTAGGTAAACACTCGCGTGCTATTTAAAAAAATTGCGTGCCTTCTTCTATTTTAATTTTATCTTTTCTTCTGCACCTTCTAATTTTTACACAACAACACTATTATTTTTGGTATTACCAGTGTATTATACGTTCAATGCGGAATTCTAAACGACGAAAATGTTCTAAATAAATGTTAAATACAGCATTTATTTGGTAACTTAAAATTAATACAAAACATTCATCAAGCTGCTAGAAAACATAACATAAACATACTCCTATGTCACGAATTGCTCTTTCAAAGCGATGAAAAATATTACTCAAGCCCAGAAATAACCCGATCGGATATTTAAAAAACGGTACCAAAGTTCTTTTTAAGTTACTATCACCGGTCAAACTAAAATACGATAACTTATTATTGGCGAATATACAATAAAATAGCAATAACATAGTATAATAAATGTTGTCACTATTCTAATTATCGCATGGATCTCCGCAGACTTTGTCTGTGATTTTGAGGGCGAATCCGGCATCCAAACCAGCGAAACCGTCTTCGGCAATGAGGACATTGAATGGGTGTCCGGCTATGTCTTCAAGTTGGCCTACGTCGAGTTTGGCTTTGCCTGGTGGTTCAATACCGATGGCGAAAGTCTGAAAAATGACAATTGTTAGAAAGAAATATTACCTAAAGACAACACAGTTCATCCAACTGAAAATGCTTCTAAATATTCAACGAAAATCCCATCATATGGGTTGAGGTGGCCATGAAAAATCAACAACGTCCGATTGGAATGTGTGATTATCGCTTAATCCAAGGGAGTGTTATTTTCCAAGCATCGATGTGTTATAACATCAAAGCCCAACAATGTTGTTGTTAAATTCCTATTCCAGCTGATATATAGAAAATTATTTCCTTTATAAAAGAAATATTAATATAACCAATTCGTACTGCTCCTAATATGGTCAGCCAAACGATATTTACGTCGATCATATTAGGCAAACGAAACTTACAATAGCTCCCTTTGCTCTCAACTCGTCGGATGGGGTTTTTACGTCATCCTGAGCCTTTCCGTCGGTAATAACAATAACAAGATCCTGAACATCTGGTCTATTTCCATTGGATGGCCTCATCATGTTGTCAACAACATGCTGAATTGCTTGTCCTGTTCTTGTGCCTGACAATGAAAAGAATATAATATATTATCTGTGGATGAGACATCTGTGACGAATTTGAAAGTGAAACCAACAGGTCACATAAAACAAGGGTACTAAAATGAACTAACACAGGACGGATCTTACCTGAGCCGTTGTACGGAATTCTATCGAAGGCAGCAAGAAGACCAGCAATATCGGAAGTATAATCACTAAGATTGATCTGAGTATCAGTATCAACAAATTTGTTATAACGGACAACGGCAAAGTGAGTTGTGTCTTCGGAGATGGTGAAAGATCTGCAACATATTTGAATGGTATAATCATATCGCATTTACGACGTTTAACAGTAATGGCTCAACCATATTGTAAATTATTCTGGAAATTGTTTGCCAAAATCACATCTGTTATGGCTTATATCGAAGTTAAAATTACTTTTAATCTATGAGAGCACTCAAAGATGAGACCTATATATCCGTTTTTTTGTTTATTCTTCGAACTAGTTCAAATCCTCAGCGCCGAGTTATGAAGACTATTTGTATACATACATCTAACAATAAGCATATATTTAAAAAGACATTTCAGATATAAAATAAGACGAGGTTGAGCAAATACCAAAATATCCAATATTAGACAGTTGAGGAAAAGTAAGATCGTGTTTCCAAACTCAATAGAATTTAGATTGTTGAAAATATATAAACGCACTTTCTGAAAAATCAAAAATAAACATACGAGAGAATGCTTGAGATGAACTTCTTCATAATAATCCAGTTGGGTTCTCCAATGGATGAAGAGGAATCGAGAATAACATATGCATCCATCCTGGCATTAGGTGGGCAAGGACCTGAAATTTAATAGAATTTTCACTAGTTTAGTAACTAGAACAAGCTTATCATTTGAAGCGTATTGCGTATATTTTATATACTTATTGATCGCACTGATTATTTAATGTTAGTTATATTATATTATTAGTCTGGATGGAGAAACACAAATACTTTGAATAATTGTATATTTGTGCTTGAGTTCAGTTTCATTCCATACATTAACGTTAACTTACGTGTGCAACAAGGCGGGCCGAGATCCCATTTCTTTGATGGTAGACATTTGTTTGTTTTGCGGGCCTTCGGATATAGAGAATATCCTGGTTCTGTACATTTGAATGTACAAACAGATGTAACGAAGTTTCCTCTTGAGCAGGTAACTTTTCCGTGTTCCAACGTTTCTCTTGGCGGCAAACATAGATCCGCTAAATGAAATGAAATGATTAGTAATGTACTTTGATTTGAGAACAAATCATTCTGCGCTTCTCGAAACTGGTTGAATAATGTAAGATATTATGAAAACCATGGTCATTTACAAAATCAACTTAAAGATTCACACTGCTACAAAATAATTCAAAGTCTTGCCAGTAATTGGAATACTGGAAGTCATTCAATTGGACCGATCATAATTATGACAGGATTCTTCAAAATAGTTAGTTAAATAGGTATATTTATATTCATCTGTACTATTTTTGAGGTAAATGTTTCATATCCATCAATATTTGAAATCAAATTTCAGTGGTCAGTTAGTTTGTTTTAAAGTTAGTATTCGACTTACGTCTGCATGTTGGCGTTGGATCCGACCATCTAAGTCCTTCACGTGTTTCGATACATTTGCTCCTCTGTGGTCCTATTCTGGTATGGTAACGGTCACACACAAAGGTGCAAACAGAGCCAAGTACGTTAGCATTGCTGCAGGATTTTCTTCCATTCTCGGGTACCAGAGGAAGGTCGGGATCGCATAGATTTTCTGCAATTGGTGGTAATATGTCTTGACAATATGGCTTAGTCGGCGGAAAGTGATGGAATGTTATAGAGATGGCGAATATTTTATCAATTTACTTAGACGAACTAGGTTAACGATAGTACATAAAACAACAGACCTTTACAGGTTGGTGGATTTTGGCTCCACTTCCCGAATTCCGAGTTTCCACCACCTGCTTCTTCGCAAACCGATTTTGGTCTTCCGATCATCTTGTATCCAGGATCGCATTCAAAGGTGCATACAGATCGATGGAAGTTTCTGTTTGTGCACGTGACTGATCCGTCAACGGGATCGCTGAATTGGAATATTCAATTGTAATTAGTTGCTTTCTAAACTTATCGATCCAAAACCACACAGTAACAAGCAGTGAGGGTGAATTTTGCTGACTTCCTATATCTTTGGCGCGATCCGAAACAATAAATTTTGTATGAGAAATGTATTTCACTTTACAGGTATTAATTTAATAAAAATAGTTTTTTGAATAGTTTTTGACCTTTTTCAGATGTTAATTGAACAAACGAGTACGCTCTGCTATCAAAACTTACAAATCATTTAGGTGAAATCGATTAAAATTTTGTTCATTAGCGGTAAAATATTCTATTTTTATTCACTCACTCAAACTCAGGTTGACAAATAATTGGTTCACATGTAGGCTCCTCTACACTCCATGTGAGTGACTCCAAGCAATTTGTCTTGAGTAAGTTTCTCTTCAGTATGGATGCGTCGGGTCCTCTCATGAAATAGCCTTTGTTACAAACGTATGTACAAACGCTGCCGAAAAGATTTCCATTTGAACACGTGACTCTTCCATTTACTGGTGCGGTTCTGACCGGACACTGATCAGCTAAAACACAAGTTGATTTATTTGATTAAAAACAGTATAATTCATCAACATATCGAGGCTAAACTTAAGTCTAACTATCTATGTAATATGCCCTGCATCACTAAAAACTATAGATTGCAGAATTTGTATTATAAACACTTACGTGTGCATGATGGTGCTGGTTCAGACCATGCGCCTTTTGCATCGCCAATGACTGCATCCTCTCCACAGGCACTGAGAACTCCTCCATCCACTGGGGCTGACCCGCCACGTCCTGGTTGCATGACGTAACCCAAGTCACATTGGAATGTACATTCTGATCTGTAGAAGTTCTTGTTGGTACATGATACGCTGCCATGTGCTGGTTTTCTAGCAAAAAAAAATTGGATTTTTAATGCTGAAACAATTAGGTATATTTGAACATAATCTATTAAATAAAAACTGCGACCGGAAAGATGTTTGTTTATTAATCAAAAAAATTCGTAATCGAGTTTTATGTTGTGCTTGCGATAACCTCTTATCATGGTCTGTTTAGTAGGCCTATGCTTTTTGCTAACTTGTTTCAAATGTGAGAGTTCATCATGAGATAGCAGTGTTTTAGAATACAAGTCAGAATTGGAACTTATATGGAAAACGACTGCCTTATTGCGCTGCACGATGGTAATGTCAGTAATATATATATGCAAAAGTAATTTTGAGATACACATCGGCAATTTGAATACTAAATTTTTTATTAGGTCATTCGATTATCTTTTTTTTACCTGTGTGGTGGTATACAGGTGATTGGTCTGCAGGTTGGTGGTGCACGTGTCCATTTTCGTCCTGGTCCACAAGTGGATGAGATTTCGTTGCCCGCAATAGTTCTCGAATTGGCAACCATGTAGTAGCCTTCATCGCATGTGAATGAGCAGGTGCTTCCGAATGTGTTTGCGTTTGTACAAGTAATGCTGCCATGACCAGGTGCGGTCAATCGTGGGTTGCAAGTAGACGCTGTAAAAATCAATACAACACATATTGATCAATACAAACACCTTGGTTTTTTGAAGGGATGGCACGAATACACGACAAAAATCAAGTTATACTTGATCAAACCAAGCGTACACAAAACCTCAGAGTATAAAGTCAATCTTTTTGTTATACTATAAAGAGAAAACTGAAATTGAAGACAATTTCCCGACCTCCTAAATCCACCTAAATATTCATCTATATCGCACAAATTATAGAAACTGGCGGAAATTTTTGTTAGTTAAATAATACTGACGTGAACATGATGGTGCAGGTGACGACCATTCTCCATCTTCATCACCATTGCCATCATCTTCGCAGGCGCTCTTGGGTTCGCCGGCAATTTCGTATCCAGGTTTACACTTGAAGCTACAGATTGATTGGTACAAGTTGGTTTTGGTACATGTAACAGACCCGTCCTCTGGAGCACTGTAAAATAGTGTAAAAATTATATCAACTGAAGGGATGCAACAACTCACAGTTATATATATATATAATTTTACAAATACAGAACCCTAATTTGAACCAGATGTTTTTTTCGTGTTACATATTTTGTATTTAATAGGCAAACAAAGTTACTTTACCTGTGTGGAGGTCTGCAGACAATCGGACGACATTTAGCTGGATCCCGACTCCAACTATTGGTATCTAAGCACTCAGTTTTAAGGTCATTGCTTCTGACAAGATCTCCTGCCGAAGTTGTCTGGTAATATCCTTTGTTACAACGAAATGTGCAGACGCTGCCAAAGCTTGCACCATCGGAGCAAGAGACTTTGCCGTTTATTGGAGCTTTTTGTGGAGGCGAGCATGCACGTGCTTCAAATAAAAAAATATGTATTATTCATATAAGTATTTCTTAAGGTGTGGTTTGTTCATAGTCTTTCAAATAGCTACCCTTTGACAATCAGATAATGATGCGTTAGGTTAGACCAGGGGTATGTATGTTGGTTGGCTAAAATAAATTCTGCCAGCGATTTTGTTGCAATTTCTCATTAGCCACAGTTCTCTCACAATGATCTCGCCAATCAGGTAAAACATTCTTCTTGATTTGCGTATACTTACGAAGACATTCTGGTTTTGGATCCGACCAATATCCGAGAGCATCACCACTGCCATCGTCCAAGCAATCAGTTGTGGCTTTTGGTGTCGATAATCTGTAGCCAGGATTGCAAGTGAAAGTACATCGGGATTTGTAGTTGTTTCTGTCGGTGCAGTCAACATCTCCATGTCGAGGTCCGCTGTTCAGAACATAAATATTATTAGATGAAGCACAGCGTCATAACTGCAAAACGAAAACCAGGTAATATTGACCACACCAACCCCATTTAAGGTTCGGTATCATTGACGATGACTACAAATTCACATTGTATCACTTTATTTGTATTCTTTCATACGGTGAAGTATTTTTTCAAGTCCGCTTTTTACAATACTCACGTTTGTTCAGGAAGACAATAAATTGGTTCGCAAGTTGGTTCGGGGTCCGACCATGTTCCATCAGATCGACACAAACTCTCCCATCTATTTGAACTGACGGCATCATCTGCTGGACTCAACATGTAATACCCTTCGAAACATGAAAACTTGCAAACGCTGTTGAAATTTGCTCCATCGGAACAAGACATTGCACCATTGGTTGGAGTGACAAGACGTGGTGTGCAGGCAGCGGCTGTTAAATAAATATTAGTTATTAAAGCTTCAAACAATATAAATACATAACGAATTAGATTGATAGAAGTGTTTTGTGGTGTTATCGCTGCAGCTGCATCATACTTCTGCGGATTTTTATTCAAATCATTTATTTCACGAAGTCTCCGTTGAGGTTTGGAATTATTAAAATTACTCACGTCTACAAACTGGTGGTGAATTGCTCCAGTCACCATCTTCGTCTCCAGGTACGGAATCGAGACATTCATTGATTTCATCACCTTCAAGTTCATATCCAGCGATGCACTCAAATTTACAAATTGACCCATAATGATTGTCCAGTGAACAAGATACGAATCCGTTTTCGGGATTTCTAAACAAAAACATATCGATTTGCTTATATATACCTTTTCAATGGTTATTTAAAGGCGATTCTTGGCATGTCATAATCAACTGCTTGGCAATTGAGTGAATCGACTTAGCAAGTACATTCAGAAAATAAAAATGAAAGAAATATTGTATTTCGGCAACTAGGTTGTTCACAAACAGCTGCACGATATTGATTCAAATTTATACTTACTCGCGTTTTGGATCGCAATGGACAGGTCTACATTTTGGAGGAAAGTCAGACCATTCACCATTTCTGTTGCAGTCGATGTCCATTTCGCCTGATCGAATGGGTTGTTCATCTGCACTGACCATGTAATATCCGCTGTCGCACATAAAAGAGCAGACACTGAGAGCATTCCTGCCATCAGTGCATCTGACAGCGCCATTTTGTGGGGCAATTAGTGGTGGTTGACATTTGGCTTCTGAATATACAATAATAAAATACTTTACTTCAACCTGTAAGATTTGGGTCTCGCGTAGTTTCGTACAAAAAACGGTTATGCCAAGCCTACTAGAAGTACTTGTGGTACCAAACTAAACCATACCCCAATTTTTTAGATAGTAAGGTGATTTCACAATTTTAGTTGCAAGTAAAAATAAAAATTTGAGATTAATGAAGATTCGATGACACCAATTTCGATAACCACTTTGTAGTTGAAATTTTTTTCAGGTATTAGTGTAAAACATTGAATAGACTTGCCGTTACAGTAGTTGACAGGATTTTCTGGCACCCATTTTCCATATTGTGTTCCATCATTATCTTGGCATTCGCTTTCGATCTGACCAACAATTGGAGTTCCATCTCTGCATTCCCAAGTACAGACAGATCTGTAGTTATTGGAATCAGTGCAGGCAACAATCTTTTCGTCAGTGCTCCTATAAATACACATAATTATTTAGATGCTAAGCTTGAACTTACTTTTTGAAGCTTCAATTTTAACTGATGGCGAAATGTTTATATTGCATACATTCCTTACAAACGATGATTGTTTTATTTCTGTGACAAAGAATACCTGGGATTGAATATATATGCAAAGTTTGGTTAATCTCGTTATGCTACAATCATTTTGTGCTCAAACAAAAGACTTACTCATGTGGTGGTACACAAGTGATTGGTTCACAGGTTGGTGGTTGTTGTGACCATGAATTGTCTTTTCTGCAGATGACATCGGTTGTAGCAATCTATGAACGATAGTTTTAATGTAACTTACAAAGCCTTATTTATAGCATAAAATCTGTTGTTATCATAGGTTTAAGCTCACTTTATAAAAGAAAGTTTTTCATTAAATAAGGTTGTGGGGTTTAGTTATAATTAAAATATAGGCTACTTTACCGGGTACACGGTTCCTCCAGCAGATTTCATATAGTAACCATCATCACAAGTGAATCGACAAACGCTGCGTACTGCATTACTGTCACTGCAGATAACTCGTCCATTGATTGGATTACCTTGTACAGGCAAACATTCACCAGCTGTACAATAAGGTTGAGATTAGAAAGTAACACTTCATGTATAGTCTCCTTAACAACGCAAATAGTCTCCCATTGAACAAGGTGAATTATCTTAATTTTCCAGGTTGTTGATATTACCAAATGAATTTTGAACATGTGAAAAAAAATGAACGTTTTCTCACGTCCGCATATTGGTGGTGGGTTGCTCCATTCCCCTGTAGCGTCACCATTACCATCATCCCTACAAAGAGTTTTTTCTGAGGTCGCTGGCACAATGTTGTATCCATCATTACATGTGTATGTACATTCGCTGTCAATGTAATTCTGATCAGAGCATGTTACTTGACCATTTTGTGGTGATGTTCGTGGTGGCTTGCATCTGATACCTAGAATCATACCGTATACAGTTGTTATGAAATATTTGAATAAATTTTGAAAATTCAATATCGATTAAAATCATAAATTATTATGCTTCGTGATTCTTACATCCAAGAAGTATTTTATGGAATCAAATCATTTCAATCTCTTCCATTCTGTCAACAGGTGTTCTCCGACATTATTATTACTTTAGTGATTGAAATATACTTACGTTGGCAGGATGGTTCACGTGCTGACCATTCTCCGATTTCATCACCGTCACCATCGTCTTCGCATGTTCTTGATGGTGATCCGACAACTGCGAATCCAGGCTGGCAAGAGTACCTAAAATGCACAAATATTTTAAAAATATATGAGGCTGTTGTTCACAATGATTCGATAAAGCTTCTTTAACAAATAATAACAGTATATAACTAGTTATATTAAGTTGCGTCATTCAAACATAGGTCACTAATCTCAGCGTAGTCTGTACAGATTACTCCTGTTTTGACTAATACATCTAAACTGTAACTTTTCAAAAAAGAAATTTATGTATTATTCGATTTATACCTAAATTATAATAACTTAACTAAAAGCTCTAAAATGAAAACGGGTAAATTTTCAGAGTTGAATTTCACCCGCAATTAGCATCCAAAACCTAAACGAAGATTATAAATTATTTCAAATATACCCAATTTCATTATAAAATGCCAAGCCCAAATGTCGAATGGTGTACATTGTTATCGCAAAATACTCACTCGCATTTACTGCGACCATTGTTTCCATCTGAGCATGTAACATCTCCATTGGTTGGTGAGGCGCTTTGAGGTTGACATTTAAGAACTGTAGATGCAAATATACATTCATTATAAACGATATATATTTCCTATAAAACGCGACGTAACAATAAACTGTGTTATATTATATTCCATTACAAAATCGAAATTGTACGATTGCGGTAAATGCCTATTTCATCAAGATTGGCGAAGTGTTGCACATATCGCTCAGTGATTGTTTACGAGTAGTATTCAGATTTGAGTAAGTACATGTGCCTATAACAAAGGCTGTACTGTAAGCTCGAATGAACTGTTTTAAAGTTTCACATATATTGGGTTAATATAAAACATAGATGATTACGTACGTCCACATCGTGGAACCGGACTTGTCCATCGACCATACTGATCACCGTTTTCATCATCTACACATGTTGAAGTTGGGCTTCCGAGGAGTTGATATCCATTTTCGCATGTGAAACTGTAAAATAACATGAATATCTGAATAGACGGCGTAATTGATACGGTAACGCTATGATTTTGAATAAGCTGAAAAAATAAACCGTCTAATAATGAAATTTTGCAAACGCAAATATCACAGATTATTATTCATCACGCGCTGAAGGTACCCGCAATCTCAATATCGACAAACTGGTGGATGGCATTAATTAGTGTAGAACTTTTATTCAAAAATTAAACTAGAAAAAGTCATTCCCACCGGCACACACTACCGCCATTGTTAGAATCACTGCAGTCGACTCGCCCGAAGGTAGGCGGGATCATTGGTGGAGGACAAGTGATTCTGATACATCTTGGAGGTTGATTATCCCAGTTCTCAGATGAAGCTGAATAATATGAAACATTCTCATATGAATATTATTACCACAAAATATGGTTTCCGATATTATATATATATAGTTGTTATGCTAAACGTACCATCGATATATGTTTTGAATATATATATTATAGGCCGTTTCATATATTTTAAATTGATTTTGATAACGCAAAGAAAATTTTGGTAGCTATCTGAAAATAGGTGGGTACTTACCGCAAGTTGCTTTTGTTTGTCCCTCGAGCCTGTAGCCACTTTTGCAAGTAAATGTGCAGGTACTGCCAACCCTATTTCTATTTGTGCACTCAACATTCCCGTTGATAAGTGAGTTGTATTCAGGCAAACATTTCTTGGCTGTGTATGGCATAAATATATTAGATTCAAGAAATGCAATGGGCTAGTTTAACTTAACTGACGCGCCTTGTTTAGTTAGCTGCAATTCTACCATAAGTCGATCGTTAACGTACGGCAGATTATTTTCTATCACCCGTCGGGTGTATTTTAATATTATCGTGTGACATAAAGACTATTAAATGTAAGATAGGAAGGCATTAAATGGGTCAATAATTCGTTAATTTTTCAGATGGTACAATGAAATATTCCGCATATCTGAAAACGTTCATGCATTTCTGTGTAAAAAAATACAAGTGGATTTTGTAATCCGCTACAAAGTTTCACGATGAAACGCTAACGCGGCACTTTTACCTGCTTTACCGCTTTTATACGTAAGCTTTTCTGATTGGTTAACGTCCTAGATCTACTTTGTTTACGCCGTCGGTACGACAAACCGGCATTGCAATATCGTTTAAAAGAAAAATGACAGTTTACGCAATGTGTCGCCTCGGGCAATAAAATATATAAAAACTTGAATACTTAGTTTTATAACGCCCAACACTGATTTATTACACGATGTATTCAGGAATATGTAGAAAAAAACATGATAAAAGTTGCAATTTATAACGCTCTAATACAAGCATTCGACTTCATTCTAAACCATTGATCGCGATGAAATATTTGATACCAAAAAGTAAATGAATACTTTATCAAATTTGAAAACTCAAGATACAAATTTAAATACAGGAAATTATTATTCAGCTAGTTCCAGAAATTAAGAATAAAATAATACTTTGAATATGAAAAACATACGTTTGCATCTTGGTAATTTGTTATCCCAGACTGATTCCTTTGCATTTTTCGCCATGCAGTTAAGGACCGGTTCTCCAACCAATTCAAATCCTGCGAATATCAATAAATGAAAGATAATGAATTATTTGAATCCTAATTTATTTTTTTATTTTACTTTTTAGTCGTGCACGGGATAGAAAATTAAAGTTGCCGAGAAAGATCACGAAAATGGAGTCGACTGCAAGAATCACAAATTCTGTCCGCAAGATGGTGTACGTAAGTAATGAAACATTGAGTGGCAATTGTCAGCAATAAATTTAACAAAATGTGTTTCGGTATGCCACGAAAATAAATATGAAACAGCTGCTTGCCTTCCTTGCATGTGTATACACATTGCTCTCCGATGTTTGGTTGATCGTATTTACAATCCCTTTCTGCGTTTCTTGGAATTTTCAATTCTGGACAATCCGGGTATACTGAACGAAAATATATTTAAATAAATAATATGAATCACTATTCTGTTGAATACACGAAAATATTTGTATTCGATTGGTATTCAAATTGATTAAATTTCCTTTACAATTCTGCGTGTGTATAGTGAAGAATAGAAAGTAAGTGGTGAAGCACATGGACAAAATATAAGCATGAATGCTTACCTGGAAGACATCCCAATTCCGGTTTATTACAATCTTCTCTCTCGCAGCAACATCTGCAGATAGATTCCGGAATTCTAGGGTTGCATTGGTATGGATGATTCCCTTTATCATTCTGTAAAAAATGAAAGTGTTAGTACTACTTCTCCCTATTGAAGCAAAATCCTAATTTAATTTTGTTTGATGGATATTTCAAAACCACATATATTTTATTATTTATACTGGTAAGAATATACTGCTGTTAGAGAAAACTAGGAAAGCATTGAAATAGGAACACCCCAATAATCAGTTTTCATAAATGTATTAAAAAGAGTAAGAACAAGAATTATAATCTTGTGGCCGTCACTTCTGATGTTCATAGCTTGTCGAAATTTGGTGGCATTGTGTTGATACTTTACTCGATATGCTATGTAATAAGGCGTAGCTATTGAATATTGATTATCACAAGTAAACCCATGGAAAAGAGAAAAATTCCAACAGTGTCATAAAAAACATCTTACCTGAAATTCGTTGTTGTCGCATGCAAGGCCTTGTTTGCATCTTTTTGTAATTCTGATTGGTGGAATTAAACCCACGTGATATCTGATTTCCGAAAAGCATCCGCCCTGTTAAAAAACACAGATTGTATATAATGAGTACTCAAAACCAGGCATATAATTATTGAAACGAATAATCTATATATGGCGGCAACGACTAAAATTTAGAATAAATTACGCGTTACAGCGTCCATAAAATATACTAGTATATAACGGTAATCGCAATATATCAAAATTGTGGAGGTGATTGAATTTCATCGACATTCAGATCAAATTACAGCACAAAATGAATATGTTGAACAGTTTTGTCGCATTGTACTAAAAATAATCACTGGGATGAATGTACTTAATAATTTTGGATGCAAATATCGCCACAACCTAAACTAATCATAATAACTGCCGAGAAGTATATGAAACTAACTTGAGCAGTTATTGTGGGAACCGTGGAACAAAGATCATTGCAATAAAGGGATATATATTTTGTAAAGAATAAAATAAACTTATTGAAGTTGTAAGGCAGTAAATTATTTGTCAAAATGATGTGAACTGAAAATTCACGTCTATTTGTTTATTGACTGCAAACAAAAATGTATCGCTGAGGGATCATTTTTACACAAAGCGACGATGGTCCATATCAATGCGTTATTTTATCGAAGATAGCACAAAATAGTTATAATTTGTTTTGTGTTAGTCATAGGTTACAGTTTTCAGAATCTTGTATTACTGGTTTGGATGAGGTTTTATATGTCTTGAGGCTTGTTAGTCCTGTTATAGATAGTATCGCAAAACTAGATTCAGGTATTATACAATGCATTCTCTATTTCATACAGTTTATCTTACGCTGGGCACCCTGAGGCCAGAGCAAGATGATGGAGATGGCGCGAGCAAGTCTGCTGCCGCGCCCGGCCAAATGATGTTGTAAAAAAAGTAAAATATTTTGGAAAAAATTGGTCTATCACATAAATTATTACTCCTGTCAGTCAGTAAATTTTGAAATCGTGTTCAATTGAGTTTAATTACAGTCTTGTCTTTTACTTTCGTAGATTTTCGACGTTTATACCTGATTTCATATTTGATCAAACCATTGATGTAGAGAAATTATACTTCTCCTAATTACAGGAAATTGATAATACGCTATTTTAAGTGCTACTGTGTACCAGGAATTTGCTTTTGTGTGCCATTTTAGGATTCATTCAGCCTTTGAGAGTTTTGTTTAAATTGCAAAAGGTCTGTCGTAAAACGGCTATTTATAAATTGGAATTAATGCGGCTCGCGCTCTACTGGAAACGTATATCTGATTTTGCCGACGACTGATATTGAGTCAAAAATGAAACGGAGGTTGGATATATTTTTTCTGTCAAATCTCAGCATTAAGAGACTCATTTGAATCAAAAAGGTCGACGCTCCAGAAGTATGTGCATCAAGATGGCGCATAACCTGATAACCCTAACCTGGTACACATGCAATGTTCAGGTTGTGCGCCATCTTGGTGCACATATTTCGGGAGCACCAAAAAGTCTGTATAATAAAATAAACCTGATATCAACAATATTAAAAAATAAGTGGCTGTAAAATCAAATAATTTGCGCAACCTCAAATAGTTTGATAAATTTGTAGCATATATAATCAAAATAGACAATCACGGCCCCGTTTATCTGGATAGACAACGATGGAAATATATTGTGAGAACAATAAAATTGATTTGAATTATTTTCAGAACATATACTTTGATAAAAAAAACACTCACATGTTCGCCAGCACATTCTACACTTTGTCCTTTGTTGATGCAATCGTCATTCGTCAAACCGTTGTCACATTTCCAACATCGAACGGCTGTATGACGGAAATAGAAAGGAAAATTATATATGTAATTTTTACATCTTATTGTAATTTACTGCAATCTATCAGAACATTTTGATCTTTCACAGTTTTTTGCAAGTTTCATCTTATAAAAAGTCATTACTCAAAATAATTTAACACAAATCAGTCTGCATAAATGCACTTTATAATAAAGTACGATTTGGTTCGAATTTGTCGTTCAAGTCTTACTCACTATGTAAGCCAAAGACATCAGTTACAATCCAATAAATATAATCAAATTGATTCTAAAAACAAATCTATGGTAAAGTGATAAACCAATCTTTGAGCTTGAGATATTTATGTCCTAGAATAATGTCAAACTAACCACTGTTTAGTAATAATCTAAGCTCAAATGCAATCCGCCTATTATATCCGACCTATTATGTAATAAGGTGACCTATTGCATGAATACCTGGAATTGATTATGGATTTGCTTTCGTAAGGTAACTTTAGTCATACAGAACGTAACTTTCGTAATAATATCTCATCAGTGACTTAACACAGAGAAATGGAATTGGTAATGAGCGTCAACGAATAACCCAAATATTATCACTGTGGGTATGTATTCGGTTCTCGTCCATAAGCCAGTCAGAAAAGAGATGTTTATAAACACGAAACGGCATGTTTGACACAAGTATTAATTGATTAAAGTAATAATATCTCACCTTCTGAAATTTCGACACTAAATACAGCAAGCGCAAATAGCGCCAATGTGGATTTCCACATTTTATAAGGCTACACTGCTGAGCAGGTACTCCGAAGAAAACAGAAAAAAGTAGTTGCGGCTTGTTGAAAAGCCGACGTGAAACGGTCGGATATGTGGAACTAAACTACCTTAACTGAGACGGAGCACTGGTAGTGATTTGATACAGTATGTGCACCCCTATTTTATACGAGTAAAACGATACCTCTATCATATAAAAGATAAAATAAAAAATCCAATCAACTGATTAGAAAAAAAGAAACTTTCTTTTTGTGGCGAGGGAGGTTGAAAAACGAGATGAGCTAATCGCTGCCAAAAAGGAGAGAGAGAATCAGCCACAATGTGTCATTTTTATCAATTATTTTAATCTCCATAACAATCTCTCTCCTAAACTTGATGTCTAGATTAAATATTACTCGGCTAAAAATCATGTATGAAAAGTAAATGTACGCCTGTTTTATTAGTGTATCTTGCTTGACATATTGACACGTATCTAGTAGTTTTAAAACCGAGTAACTTTACCTGAAAACGTAAAATTAAACCTGTTTCGCAAGTTGAGAAAAAAAGAGTAAAATGTTGTTTTTCTACATTTCGTTGACAAGTCCAATGAAACGTCTTTTTTTATACGCATTGGTATGAAGCAATTTTGCGCTGAATGTCAATTACATAGTCTGAAACATTGCCGAGAGGCATTACGTGTATAAAACGTTGGATACAAAAATGAGATAACTATAGTTAAGTAACTGATAACCCCTATGAAAGCAATAATTTTCATATCATTTTTTCCCTTCCTAAATTGATGCAAATTATAGCCAGGAGTTGACGTTTGGTAATTTTGTATGTCCATCAAAAGTATGTTTTGATATAATGACCCCATTTGCCATCGACTTTATTGCTATCGATAATTTCAAACGACAAACCATTTTGATCTTGTTTCCGAAAATGAGATTCAAACAGCAAAGTTAAATGTTCGACGCGAGTCAAGTTCAGGCAAACACCAGAAACATGACTTTGTTCCACATTTAATAGTATCCCGTTGGGTTTAACAACATTTTTATATTTGAACTATCATTCACCACCGAGAAACTTGGTTTTAATATAATAAATTCTACGAGCAAGACGTTGGACCACAATGTTTTTATTTATAGTCTCAACTTTATACATCTCTGTGGTGTTGAGTGAGAAATTATAAACGAGCACAACGAATAATTAGCAGTACCGGAAATGTTTCTATCGTTACACATGCTTAATTTTTTTTATAATTAGGCTTTCGTCCGAAAGAAGTTATCCGTTTCCGCTGATTTTGCAAATTACTTTTCAGAATGCGACTCGTTTTTTAACAACATCACCACATAACCCACTTTTTTGAATTACCATATCAAGTACCATTCTTTTTAAGGTAATTGGATGTTTTTCATGCACTTTTACTATAACTAACGGTATAGTTGCTTTCTACCTACCTTGCTCATAAACCAATTTTGTCACACTTTTGAAAGACGGTATAAAATTTGTTTTGAGTATATTAATACTACGAATATTTCTCAATATGTTTCAATAAAAAAATTCTAGCTTGTTTCACATTTTTCTACGAAGTGATAATCAACAGTAAAATTCTGCTCACGTTATAATCTCGTCAGAAATTAGAAATAAGACTGACAAGTTTTTTAAGTGTACAAGAATTTCTTCACTTCAATTCGGTCGGATTATACCGGTTAAATATCGATCATCCCAAACAAAAACATATTATCCTGAAAATATTGTGGCGCAGAAATTGACCTGTCACGGATAAACTGCGGAAATACTGAACTCGTCTTATTTATATTGAAAGACCAAGACTCTAAAACGGGCATTAATGATTCTTTCACCCATCTAAAAATTCGTCGGTATTTGAAACTGCCTTCCAGTGTAAATATGTCATATGCATATATTTTCATACACTCAATAAAATATTAAATAGGAATAATGTGGATTTATTCTATTCGAATTACATTGTAGCCTAATACCAGTAAAATTGATGCTATTCATTCCGTTAAACACGTATGAAATTATGGCAGGACATTACTGGATTCATTTGAAAAAATAAAATTATATTGCACAAATATTACCAGAAATCGTGTCGTTTCCACTCAATTAATAATTTCAGAATGTCACGTTTGATTTATCGGAACTATATCGTAGTTTTTTGCATCAAAGTCGACTTGCGCTTCGGGGCATTTCAACGTTTTCATCAAATTTTCACAGTCAGATTTAAAACGACTTTGCGAGGCCTAAGAGCGAAAATCGGTTTACAGACATTGTTTAGATTCCAGTTAAATTGTTGCCAAATTATTGCACCATAAAACCTACAAGTCCGATCTGCTCGATAGAAATTATAAAGAAAAAATAAACACCATTCTTTTGGTTTAATATCATTGCACCAATTGCAATAATGGGTTATTGAAAATCGACCAACTCAGCATTCAAATTGTAAAGTATCGAATCGTACTCAATTGATGACCGCAAGTACATGTTTTAAAGTAGGAAAAAAACACGAAGTATACATCATTGATTACAGAAAATTCTTGATCTACACAAATCAAAGAGACTGTTGTGGAACGCAGTGGATGGTAATTCCCAGTTGAGTATCAGAGGTCGCACATATATATACATATAAACACATAAGTATGGTTCGATCCGTGTAATTGTTGAAGCAGAATGTTGTCTGAGCCTAAACTTTTGTCGCAACAAACAATTTGAGAGAAGTTAATTTTTATCTGGCCTGTAATTCAAACTCTGGATAATGATGTAACTAAATACAACTCTGGAAAGTGTGGCGAATGAATGTCAAATTACCAAATGTTTTAGACGATTTAATCCAAATATAATTTTCTAAGTAGTATTTGACAACAACAAAGGTTGGTCGCTCTGCAACCCAAAGTACATAATCACATGTCTGTTAACTCAAACCACTATCAGTTACGGTTTTAAAATTTGTTTATAAAAACATGAAATTGAACTAATGACCCGACTAATAGTTAGTTAGGTTTTCACAGTCAAGTTTGCATTTATTTACTTGTTGTCCCTCGACAAATGTCATTTATGCGCGAGTCAATTGCTTCACTGACAGTTTTTTTGTGAACATCCTATATTTGCATCAAAGCTTGTATATTCATATCCACTAATACCAAGGTGTGAAATGTTGCATGTAGAAAGGAATGAATTTGTGATGTGAACTGAAGTGGGCACACTTGTCTATATGGTGAAAACACACTTTTAGGTAGTTGGTAATATAATCAGGAGTTTACATCTTTGTAGCAGCAAACATTCAGCGTATTGGTTTTAATTACAAACCGCGGAAATTTATATTAAAGGCAGCAGGTTGTCAAAAACAATTGTCAATATTATATACAGTAATTTAATGAATAATATCTTACTATGCAAAGTGTAATAAATGTAGAAATTATATTGTATATAAACTCTCATTCAAACTACAAAACGATTAGTAAGAGTTATGTGTATATAATATGAAATACATTTATCAAAGTCCTATTTATTCGAATTTCCCTTAATCTACATCTTCATAAAAGTTTATTTTTGCTCCATTTTTGGTCCGATTAATGAGATAGATTATACGGAATTTTTAGCCGGAAAAGCAAAATTTGTTTTGAGTCTTGAGGCGATTACAATATGAGAAGAAAGAATTTGATGGCAAACGCCTTCATATAACCCTACAAATAACGTGTAAAAACCTCAAACATAGACAGACAGGCACGAATTAATGGAATGTGTTCCAGTATTCATTTTTTATTTATTCGGTATTTCAATGGCAATTCATTTGGAAAATTTGATTATTAATATGGTGCATTTTAAAAGCTCAATTAATTTAATCTTTATTTGTTGCTGTATTTTGACCCGTACAAGGCGTGAGTAGAATGCGTTGGCGCTATATAGCGGTCAACCTGCAAATTGTGACGGATGTATGGCTTTTTCAGAGACAAGGCAAACGGTGTCTAGTCATAAAGAAATCATGTATTAAACAAGTCGCAAAGCAAGTTTTTATCATTTCCTGGGAACGAGAAGGTTGTGGTAAGCAACCGGCAGCGGCATATTTACACCAAACACTATTTTACCACTGCATTATTAAAATTTCCACAGCAATGAGTAATGATTCAAGATCATGTATACGTCGGATAACATGGGATTATACTTTGGCATGTATTGGATCTTATTCAATAGACCCAAATTGATCCCATCACGGTAATATACTTTGCTATGAACAAACATGGGCGTTCCAGAAGTATGTGTACCAATATAAAGGTAACTAATTTTGTTCGTCTATTTTACATCAAGTTGTGCAACGGGACTGAAATCTACGGGCAGGGGGTATATTTATTTGGCTAACTCAGACAGTCCCCGAACTCGTAATAGAACTAAAATAAGAAAAATCGGAATAAAATTATGGTCTAACTCTAACCTGGTACACATACTACGGGAGTACCCAAAAATGCCAGTAATAGTTTTGTACTTCTACACAAAAAGCTTGACTAGTTGGTTTGACGGCGAATGGTAAACTAGAAGTATGCAAATCCTATCAAATTATTTGTAACGCTGTAACACTGTAAAACTATAAACCGATTAAACATTCTTACTTTCCACAAAGTTGAAAAACACACACTATCTTTATAAAAGAAAATTAATGCAACGCTATAAGACGCTGATATTATATTAATTTCTTACAAATCATTGAAAACCGCAATCAGGAAGGATGTATACATTTAGAAAGCCTTTTAATGAGAAAACTAATATATTTTTTTTTTTCAGTCATTGTGAATTTGATATTTTATTTCGCCTAAATTATCATTTCAGCAATCAAGACAAAACCAAACCTAGTTGACCCCATGCCAAAGCAATAAATCAATTCAAAATTAATCAATCAAAATTATAACTCATACTGCCTCCGGTACATATATCATTAATGACAATCATATAATTCAAAAATTATAGATGGTTATGATGTGTTTATGTCGTTTACTGTCAAGTTTAATTGTTTCGCCCTATCATTGATAACATAATGTGTCAATTTTACGATTAATGTTTTTTAATTCTCGCCCTTCTCTCTGCAGGCAATATCAATTTCCCATCGAATTTAGAATATTGATATGCTTCCAATAATGGCAATATCATACTTCGTTAAGAATGATTTATCAATGCCTTATTCA